ATTTAATTGTGAAGCCAAATTATCAAAATATAGAAAAATAAAATTGCCAGTCTTTAAATCACCTTAAGCAGCAGATGGTGACCCAGTTTTTATAAGAGGAGAATATTATTTGATCCTACCAACCTTAAAGAATAGAAATCCTTTAAGCTTTCGTTAATTTACTATTAACTCTTTTTATCCAGGGGTTGAAGTGCATAAAAAAAGTTATTACCAAATAAAGTATGGGCTGTAAATTAGTTGGAAAAGCCTCAAAATTCATATTTTCTCGAAATAATTAGAAAGCTGCCTTTATTTTCATTTCAAATATAATCATATCAAGGTTAAAACCCGATAAGTGAATTCAATTGTATATCAGAATAAAGAGAATGTCCTAATTCTAAATATCCTATAGTACTATAGACAATAATATGATTATTTCATTACCTGTCTGAAACAGGGAGACAAAATGATAAAGGATAAGCAGAATAAACTAACCCAATCGGAAGGCTGAAATTCGAAGTCAGTTTGTGCGGTTATCTTAGTTGGTTTGTCAATTTGGTTATATATAAAGCATGAGTAGGTGAAAGTGTCTACATTCGATACTTCTTCGTCCAAAAGTGCCAACCTAAGCTCCTCTTTTCCTTCATCTTCCTCCTCATCGTCCTGCACATCCTTCTCGGGCATGCAAATAGAATCATCTACATCCAGCTTCACATCCAATTTAGTATAGCCGTCTCCTATTTTTTCCCGTACTTCACTTCCCAAGTTTCCAATCGGCATCAAATTATGTGGCTTATTATTCTTTAACTTTCTCCTAATCCTCCGTTTCTCTAGCTGTCTCTGGAGATTCTTATATTGCCTCAGCTGGCGAGTTCGTTCTGCCTCGATCAAGGGGTCGTGCAAAGCCTCAACTAAAACGATGCAGAAGGATAGATGGGATATTGGAGACGTCTGTTGAAGGGACGAACAAGCAGGGATAACCGAAATATCGGAATAGGCGGAAGTAGAGGTCGGAAAGGAAGAATAAGTGCCTGTCAGGAGAGAATCCACCAAATTTGAGGAGATATTATCACCTGGTAAACATGAAGGCGGATGAATCCAGACGGAATAATTGGAAGGAGTAGAAGTCAAAGAATCAAGATCAAGAGTAATCTGTTCTGATTGGAAGTCAATCTGCGATAATAGTGGAACAGATGGAGTAAATCGAGTAGGATTGGTAGCAATGGCCCGACAAGGATCAGGAAGAGTCGTAGTAATGGTAGTAGGAGTAACAGGAAGGCGTAGCGAATCAGAATGGCATAAATGATATGATCGAATCGGGGCTTTCTCAATTAGTTGTAGCTCAACGTCCGCCAAGTAGAATTCGCATATCTGCTTCTCCAACTATAGAAAATGGGATAAATATAGCAGTTGAAACACAGATTCTAAGCAGAATTAATTTTAGAAGTTGTTTGACCTTGTTTTCGCAACTTGGTCATATTGGTATGAAGACTTAGAGGAACGCACCTAG